ACATGCAAGTGTGTGTATCTATGTTGCTATGCTATCTACTTGTATCGATTTGATATTTATAAATAATGCCACTCATTGAGATACTTTACGTTTGCTATGCATATGGTATATCAATTGCGCGATATCAGTTTAAATAACCAAACAGCAGCAATAAGGAGCTAATAGAAGATGAAAAAAATAAAATAAATGTTAGTTACTAAAACATAAATTGTTACATGTACAACAACAACAAAAACAACACGAACAGTAACAACAACAGTACTAACAGAACCATAACAGTCACAATCACAATCACCATCAACATTAGTGGCATTAAGTAAAACTGTGCAGTGCACAGATACCACAAACACTCAACGTTAAGCTTGAGATACATGCTTAACCGTATGATTTATGTGTAGTGGAGCTATTTTAACCATTGGACCCCCAAGGCTATTCGGTATGTTGGTCGACCATAGCCAATTCTTTTAATTTTCTTTGCTTTTCGATTGAAAAATATAAACGTGGAAAAGAGAAAAATGTGTTTGGTTGGCAAAAATTGGTCAGCAACGGCAACGGAATAATAAATAATAAAGCTTTTACTTTATGAATGTGGCCAACAGAAGTTGGAGCTACAATTCAACGCTCTTCCAATTTAACACAGCAAAGCTAACAAAAATGGTAACAACAACAACAACAACCACAAACAATAACAATAGCAGCAACATCACCAGCTATAAGCAAATATTAGAAGAAAAAGCAATGTATCTGAGCAAAAAAAAAAAATTGTATCTGTAGTCAATTTTTGTTGGTACCCACATAAAAAAACAATTTGGAAGTGATGCGGAAAAGCAGTACAAAAAAAAGGAGAAATATTATAAAAGAAAAGCCGCCTGAACAGTGGCAAAAAATCTATGGGAAGTGCCCTCGTGGAGCTTGTCAAAACACATTCATTCCTACAATATTGAAACCCGGAACCATATTTAAAAGCTAAAAATTGCAGTTCAAGATTCAAGAGTTTGAAGGTCATTCAATTAGCTTATTTGTTTATTGGGGTGTTCGGTTCGGTTCGGTTTGTTTGTTTGCACACAGCACATTTACGGTCACAGGAACCCAGTGGAATGTATAAATCTATTTATGTGATTTTGATTTCAAAAGAAATGATTTATTTCTGTTCGAATTGTATTTTTACACATGTCCGAAATTGATTTCATATGGTTCAGATTATGCAGATTTAATAACATTAGGAAGAGAGAGATTCGCTGATTTATGAAGTAACTTGATTTTACCTTAATTTATAATATATACGGTTTTTTAGATCAGATATGAGTATTATATAAATAATTGTATAGAAGTGCAATTGATAATATTCTACAAATACAAATACAATTTGTATAAATCATACAAATTAATCATATATTAATATTTTTTTTCATCGGCCGTCTTTAAGAACTTTAGAATTATATACCAGCTTTTTTATATATACCATATAATTTAGTTTTGTAAACAATAAGCTTTTTATGAACTAGACGGGACTGTATGATATTCTATCTATAGGTAGAAATAAAGAATTGAATGGAATTCAAACGCTGTCGTATTAGATAAGTTGCTGTATACAGTTCTCATCGATATTACTCTTAAAAATAATAAAAACTGACATCTAAATATTCTATTCGAACTTTCTATTTAAAATACGAAAATCTAACGTAACACTTTGGTAATGAAACAATAATAAAAATAATGAGTTGAAAGACAAGCGAAAGATCTAAATAAGGAGACAGTGCTACAGCCGGTTTAGGATTTTTCAGTTGGCAATAGAAAGTTGTTAATAGATTATCTCACCTATTTCTTATGTTAAAATACGCAATATAATTCAGTCAATTGAATATCGTATTTACTCAAAAATAACATTAAAGTTATAGTCAAAATTTTCAGTAAACTCCGACAATGATAGAAATATTAAAATCTATCTGCGATGTGGTTTCCTGAACGAGTTACTCATAAAATGGTTTAAAAATTTATGATATAGGTATATCAGAAGAACAATATGATTTAATTATATATGAATTGTTGTACATATATGCACATTGTTATGAATGAGTAAACCTATTGATAAGATTAATATAAAGCCATTGTACATAAAACAAATAATACAAATTAAAAAAATATGTTTACCAGATATATTCAAATGTATTTTGGGAAATGGCAGGCAATTATACACTACTCTAGAAGATTGATTGCATTGAAGACAGATATTTATTACTCAAGTTGACGGTAATGTGGCCAGTAAAATATAGTAAAGTGTAAAATATTATTGTGTTTATTAAAATTTTAGTACAAAAAACTTGTTTTAGTATGTTATTCATATATAATTATTAAAAATTTCACAATCATATGGACTTCGTTTCAAAATTATAATAATTATTAGAAAGAATAGGACTTACCTCATGGTAACTAAAGTTTTTTGAGTTAAATCAGTACACGATCAGAAATGATCAATAAAGTGATCCTGAAGATAATTATAAAATACGTTTTTTAATAACTTTTAAAGATATATTAAAAATTTGACTTACTTAAACGTACCGTAGTATGTGCAGTAAAGTATATTACTACCAAATCTGAATTGCAGTTTTGGATATCGGCAACTATAACATAAGTTTTCGCAAAACTTGTTGATATTGGCCAAGTAAACCTATTGAAAATAAAGCAATACAAAATATATTTTTTTATAACTGATAAATCCTACTTGCTTGAATATTCAAACAATATTCTTATCTTCCTCAGATAAACAACAATTCTTGTTTGTAGGACTGAGTTTTTCGGCTTCGGCAGAAAAAAAGGATATTGCTAAAGTAAACTACAATATATATAATAAAATAAATTTTTTAACCGATTTAAAAGAAGTCTTAAATTTTACATACCAAAACGCACAGTAGTCCTTTATGCAAATCTGCTACTATCAAATCTTTAAAGTAGTCAGATATTTGAATTTCGCAAATATAGTGTTTGCTTAGGCACGTCAAACATCAATTAATCCAAAAATCTTGTGCAGTGGTATTAGATCAGTAACTACTGGTACTGATCAAATCAGCAGAGAAATGCTGATAGCGAATCCTGGGAATATTTGGATTTTGGATTTTGGCATATATTACAAAAGTTCAGTCTAAAAAATAAATATTTTCAGCTGCTAATAATGAGACAATCTTCTTAGATTATAAAAAATAATGAATAAAAATATAAAAATTTACTTTTATCTGACAAATTTCAAATTTTTAGAAAACTCAAGGCTAACATGAAAATGTATTTTTATATTATTGGTAATAGACACCAATAAAAATAAATGGAATTATTTTTTTTTTTTTTGTTTTAATGAAATATGGTTGACAAAACAACACTTCTAATAATAAAAAAAATTTTGAATAAATTAAATATCAGTCGCAAAGTAAACCAATTTCAGTTATACATACAGTCAGTGCTCAGCTTAACTTATTTCAGTTCATAAATTCATAAGCAATCATTATACTTACTATGTCATGGGCTTAGTAAAATTAGCATAATAGTCTGAATATGTATAACTCACCTCTGTGTACATCTTATAAGATCCAGACCAAGTTTCTCTTAGGAGAACTTAATGACGTCTGCGATTAAGCTGGAGAATATACCTCTCAGTTTTATTTCAATCTGTTTCGTCGTCAATTATTTAAGCGCGATTTGAAGTGTTCGACAAATATATCAATTTCGAGTGCAAATTATCTTAAATTATTTATTTAATTCAATTACTGAGTATTTAATATTATGTTTTGAGTAATGGCATTTAGAAATAAGCATAAAAAATATAAATTTAGAGCAACTCGATCTATATTTTCACAAGAATAAAACAAATTATATCTGATAAAAATTTTTTGAATAATTTAATGCAACAATTATTTTATACTCACTAACACAAAGAGCTAAGCTTACTATATTTTATTTTTTTTTTTTTTATTTAATTTAAATTCAATATGTATTCTGTCACATAGTACGGTGACATTTTACAATTTTTTAATAAATACTATTTGAGACTTGATCATTTACAATTAAAGTAGTTCTCCCTGTAGAGAGCTACTCTTTTCTTTTTAATTTAAGATTTCTTTATAATAAAATTTGATTTTTATAATAAAATTTGAAGCGGCGTTTTCCTTTTCAGTCTCGTAAATATATTTGAGGGGGACATCAAATTCGAAGCTAGGATGTTGGGATGAATTTGTATTCGTTCATGGTATTTTCTAGCTACCTTTTTTACTTCATCTCTTACCGGGATTATCCCAAGGTCCCGATGGATTTGAATGTTAGTTACATACCATGGAGCATTTACTATTTCCCGTAAAGTTTTAGATTAAAATCTTTGAAGAATTTCTATGTTGGATGTTGAGGCTGTTCACCATAATTGAATGCCATAGGTCCATACTGGTTTTAGCACACTTTTATATAAAATAAGTTTATTCTTTAGGGATACTGAAGATTTTTTATTTAGTAGCCAAAACATTTTTCTGTATTGAATCCCAAGGGATTTCCTTTTGTTAAAA